AAAATGTCTCTTTACTATGCTTCGATTCCACATTTTTCATTCCCTGGTTCTTTGCAATGTTTCCCTTTATCTTACTTAAATAAAACAACTAAATAAACTATTAATGAGCATAAACACAAATCCACTTTGGAATGTTAGGCTCCGGACCCCCCCGCGACCCAGTCGGATAAGCGGGTTGGACAATGGATGGGTGGATGGATGGAATGTGTGTGTCATTTGAAAACAATCAAAACCAAATATTATACTTTAAAGTATCTTTAAATAATGATAGTTCATTTCTTCAGGGAAAACCACAGTTAGAGCCTGTTAAAAATTCCCTACCAATATTTCTTGTTATCTCTGTAGGTTAAGTGTCATAATTTGTTAATGTGATGTAACATACAATATAATATAATATACTACTGTAATGTTTCAATGCCGTCATGGCCGGCCTGTACACTGGTACTGCGAGTGGCAGCACCAGTGTACAGATAGATATCTATTTCTGGAGGGTGGGACTGGGCAAGGACTGGGTAGAGGTTAAGTCAATGCTGGGATTTGGATTTTTCAAATAGAAATTAATGGAAAGTTCCTACAAAGATACAAATGGGTGTGTGTTTATGTGTGTGTGTGTGAGTGAGTGAGGTGTGTGTGTGTGAATGAGTGAGGTGTGTGTGTGTGTGAGTGAGGTGTGTGTGTGTGTGAGGTGTGTATGTGTGTGTGTGAGTGAGGTGTGCTTGTGTGTGTGTGAGTGAGGTGTGTATGATGCTTTTCAAAAACACCTTATTCAGTCTTCCTGTATGGAAAAGACAGGAGCACTTTGCAGTCAGTCCAACTTATTCACATTTATGTACAGAGAATGCGGTTTGAACATCCTCAAAAACATGCCAATACACCCAAACCAAGCCACGGTTTGTCATGTGACACAAGTTCTCCACAGGAATGCTTACAGATGGCTGCAAGTTTGTTTTCTCATTGAAAGATCATAAGGTCCACAAACAGCTCCACCAGATTTGGGACCAGGGGCCAATTTGCATCAGAAATCAACAAAATCCCCTAACCATCACATAAAAGATTGCAGTGCATGTTCGACAGCTCAGCCTAGATCGTAAGTCACATTTCAGCTTTTGAATTCAGGTCTATTTCTATAGTAAACTCAGGGGGGGTTGTTCTGACCCCATTCCCTTAGAGCTGCCTTGTTACATATATTAATTAAATGTACTCATTCATCATTTAACAGAACAAGTTTCCAAGATTCCAAGTTTCATTCACAGTTTCAGTCAAAGCAGACAGTTTTATCCAAGTAAACCCAGTTCACACCTTGGAGAGACGTGTGTTCAGATTCCCCTGTTCAGCAGCATTGATAATGGTCTTCCTGTCCAGGGCTGACTGCTACCCCTGCCCTCCTTCCTCCTGCAGCATAATCCCTGCCCATGGGCCACTTCTGGGAGTCCTTAAGTGGCCTTGCCCAAAACCACTGTCTCACAGTCACCTGTTTTTCAAATTCCTTCTGGGATTTCCATTTCATCAGCACTCGGGTCTGTGAGGTCTGCTTAGCTCCCAGTTGAAGGCTCGGGTTCAAATCTCACAGCGCTGTGACTCTCCCTCCTCCTGGAGGGTCCACTGTCAGCTTCTGTCTGACTCCCGCCAGTCCTTGATCACTTCCTGAGCACCGTTTAATGCTCTTCCCCGACATGCTCTCCCATTCGCCTGTCCCAGTGATCACAAAGCCTCCGCGTCCCGCGGGGCTCCAAAGGACAGACTGAAGGCGGAGCTTAGCCTCTTGGAGACCCCGCCCCCTGCCCCACCCTTCTTCCGGGTCCAGGTGAGAAGGGAGGTGGGGCTGCCCCCCTTGCTGGGTGTGGGATTCCGCAGGTGAACAGCGCTCTCATCGATGCCGCATGGAGAGAGAAAGACAGACCTCTGCACCTCAAAGAGGAAGGGGAAGAGAGAGGGAGAGGAAGAGAGAGAGATAGAGACAGATGGAAAGAGAGAGCACTCAGTAACTAATCATCAGACCTACAAGCGAATGTGTGGCTGCATAAGTGTGCACGTACCTGTTTTAGCGTCTTGGGTGACAGCATGGTGACAATGCCGAGCTCCACTCCCCCGTCGCTGCATGCCTTTAGCGCCTGCACCACCTCCACGTGCTTCGCCCACTTACAGTCCGCCCCGTTCACCGCCACGATGTAATCACCCTCGCAGAGCCCCGCCTCCTGCCATGTCGGGCACACGTGTCACTTCTCCTCTCCACTTCCTGCCTCCCAGCAGGAGCCACTTCACGAAGAACCCTTCCAGTGTTCATCACTTTGTTCATTAATATTCATCGGTTTATCATCAATTAGTAAAGAAGAGGGGGAGTTAAAAGGGGAGGGGCTTAAAGGGTAATCAGGTTCAGAGGTTGGGATTGAAAGGGCGGGGCAAAAGAGATCTGCTGTTTGGGATTTTGTGGGTGGGGCAAAGTGCTTGAGAAGTGGGTGTGGTCTCACCGAGGCACTGCCCCCTGGTACCACCCCAGCCACAAGCACAGGAGAGTCTCCCCGCAGCGTTAGGCCCAGACCGCTGTCGGATCGCACCAGCCTAATGCGCCTCTGTGGGCACCACTGGTTCCGGGCTGAAAACACGGACAGCGGTCCCTGTAAGGGGAGGGGAGTACAGGGGGTGTACTGTCATCATAGAACTATAACCAGCATTTATTACCATATAACTCCAGCATTTGTTCTGCTGGCTGTTGCTTGGTATTTTATCAAAGAAACCTCGGACAAAGTCTCACCAGGACCTGACAGATTTAATGGCCTCCGCTCAAATCTCTTGATGCCCCTAAAGCCCACTGCAGGGGGGTGGTGAACGTACCAGTCGCTGAAAAAGATCTGTCACCCGCACTTTTGAGAAGTCAGGGGTCTTCACATCTGGCTTATGTTGAGTCTTGGCTGAGACAGAGAGGAAGACAGGAGAAGGGAAGGTGAGAGGCTGCCCTCTGGTGGTGGATAACCTATCTCACATGTAGGCACAGTGCTCACGGTGGATGTCGGGGGCCTCGGCCGTCTGGCAGAAGTCGTCCTCACGGTCGATCTGCGAATAGGCACTGAGCGAGCGCTTGTGCACAGATGCCAGCACCTCCTGCAGGATGTCCATCTTGCGCAAGACCCTGCAGAGGCCGTGGATGCGCATGGCCTCCTCATGGCGGATCACTGCCCGCCGCAGATGTGCTTTACCTGTGCAACACATGGCTACGGCTAACCAGCTAGTCAGCACAGTGAGGTTACACACAGCCACTGCTAACCAGCTAGTCAGCATGGTCTGGTCACCAAACCACTAACCAGCTACATCTGAGCTATATTTGTACCTGTAGCTACACAATCACACGCTCCCAAGTGACATTATGACTCCCCTCCCCCCTGTCCTCAGCCAGCCTGCGCCTCTCCTCAGGGTCCCTCAGCACCATGCCCAGGGGGGGCCCTGATGGCTTGCTGCTGTGAAGCTGCTGCAGCATCCGCTCCCCCAGGCCGTCACCCCATTCTGTGGACTCTAGGGGCCGACAAATACACACATGCTCTCCATCAGGAAGTTGACTGACACATATACACAGCTAGCTAAGCTCCAGTTCTAGACCCTTAGTTACGCAGGGGGCCCAAAAAACTCAGTCTCTTGGTTATGATAAATTTTGTTAATGATGCTCTATAGATCTTGCACTGAGAGGGTAAAAAAATTCCTCTGATGCATAATTAACTATAAGTAAAAAGGTCATTGCTGCGTGGCAGAATCAGGGACCTTAATAACGACCTGTAGTCTGTCACGGAGATAAATGTACCCCACAGCTATGACCGAGGCATGTCAGGGAACTCACGGGCATAGCTGCACAGGGCCAGGCCGGCGTAGTAGTGAGAAAGTGCGCGGAAGTGCTCATTCTTGACCTGTGCCAGTGTCGCCCAGGAGAAAGGAACATAGTCCTTCACCGGGGCCTGCTGCATGGTCTGGACAGCCAGCCAGTACATGTCAGACACCTGCTGGGAGCACGGTCACGGTCAATACACGGTCATTACAGTCACAGCAGACACACACAGTCAGTATGGTCACAGCACACTCGCAGGCACAGATGCTGGCATAGAACGTGAAGTCGCATGCGTGAACTATGAACTGACCCGCGCGGCCTCTTGCGCCACCTGCAGGTGGGAGGGGAAATCGCCGTCCTCCAGCACGAGTAGCAGCACCCGCTCAAACACACACTCCTGCACCTGCGCCAACATCAGCCGCACCAGCATTCCCAGCGAGGCGCCGCTCATGTCCAGACTGGGAGCGTTGGAGAAGTTTTCCTTCAGGTAACTGAATGCACCTGGAGGGGTCGACGAACAGATATTGGTGAATTCAAAAGACCGTTGTAGGTCCTCCTTGTGGATAGGGGGCGATCTAGAGCCTCAAGGATACATTTTCAGAACTCCCAGCCATCGGTGTGGGCGTTGTCCTTACCGGCAGCACACTGAAAGGCATCGATGGCGTTGGCGATGCCCTGGGCACTGCTGCGGTTCTGCCTGGTGCCGATCTGGGTGTAGAGCGCCCCCACATTGAACAGCACGCTGCCCTTCTCGAAGGCCAGGGCCCGCTGGCTGGATGGCACACCCGTCAAGGAGTCGTACCTTTGAAGGAGGCGTAGCAAACAGCTAATTCGGGACCTGCTGTTATACCATTAACTGACTCTTATAGGCATGAGACAGGGTTACCATGGTAACTTTAAGAGCTTCCTAAGGGATCAAGGTCTTACCAGTGGAACTGAACAGCCAGCATATTTCCAGGGTGAAAGAAGCGCTGTTCCAGGAAGTAGAGCTGGTTGTAGTACTCTATCAACAGCTCCAGACCTGCCTCATTCCGGCTGGGGGTACGCATGGCCTGATAGGACACACATTTGAATGAAAATATTCTGGCTGCCATTTCTGCAAATAGCCTGTCAACCACTAGAGGGCGACATTGACTGACACACTCTTCACTAACAGTAATACAACTGCAGGTTTTAAAATAAGGCCAGGCAAAGTGAAGCCGGATCTCACCTGCCGAAGCTCATTAAGCTCCTTAATTTCTGCCTCGTACTGCGATGCTTCCTCACCATAGTGCCGGCAGATGAAATCCTGGTGGAGACACAGTCGGAATGAGTGTGGATTCACCATCATGATAATTATAATACTCCTTTGCCCACGCCCCCATTGCACCACCCTCCAAAGGCAGTCTGCCAGCAAAGAGGATGTTCAGGAGTTATTTTCCACCTCACCTTCAAACAGAGACGTAGATTTGGGTATGGATAGTCTCTACCAATAATGTGGGATTATCATGTGTGTTTAGGGGGGCGGGGGGTTCGGGGCTGATTTGGTCCCTACCAGTGTTAAAATCAAACCTACGCCCTTGCCTTCAAAGGAAGTGAGAAGTCCAGTTCTTTTGTCTCCTTCAGGCCCAGAGGGATCATGGGAACGTTGACCGCCTCACTGCTGGAAACATGACAGTAATATTAGGATGTGGCCTTGTAGGTCTGCGAAGGGGAGGGGATGATGTGGGACAGGTCTGTCTGTGTCTGATAGACCCTCCATGTCACTGCATGACCCCCAAGTCATTGTATGAGTATAGTATCGTGTGGGGTGTCACAGTCCCACCTCTTGGTCAGGTAGACCCCCATGTTACTGAGTTACTGTAATATCATTTCGTTAATACAGTCCCACGTCTGGGCTGGGTAAACTCCCGTGTCGCTGTGTGAGTGTAGTATCATGAGGAGTGTTGCAGTCCCACCTCTCAATCTGGTAGACCCCCATGTCGCTGTGTGAGTGTAGTATTATGTGGAGTGTTGCAGTCCCACCTCTCAATCTGGTAGACCCCCATGTCGCTGTGTGAGTGTAGTATTGTGTGGAGTGTTGCAGTCCCACCTCTCAATCTGGTAGACCCCCATGTCGCTGTGTGAGTGTAGTATTGTGTGGGGTGTTGCAGTCCCACCTCTCAATCTGGTAGACCCCCATGTCGCTGTGTGAGTGTAGTATTGTGTGGGGTGTTGCAGTCCCACCTCTCAGTCTGATAGACTCCCACATTGCTGTTGAGCTCTTCCAGCTCCTCTTTGAGCAGCTGCAGGTTGGAGTTGACGATGCTCAGCTCAAGAGCCACAGTCTCTCTCACTTTGTGGTTGGTGGTGGCCCTGGAGGACAAAAGGACCAAAGTCACTCTAGCGGACAGGGTCATGGATCTGATGGGAAATCGCTGGAAACCAGGCCATTTAGGCTGATTTAGCTTATTTCAAATCATAGCAAACAGAAAACCAAAAAACCCATTTTAGATGAGTGCAGAGAAGGAAGATATTTCAGTTCAAGCAATCAGCCACCATACAGGTCTGGGGGTGTAATCCACCCCCCAAACGCCCCCATGCCCACTAGGGCACCATGAGCAGCCCCCACAGCCCCACCATAACTCTGCAGGCCTCTGCCTTACTCAGAAGTGCCCTGTTTCAGTGACCCATGAAAATTATTAATTTTTGATTCATCTGTTACCACATTCCTCAGACTGGTCGGACAAAACAAAAGGAAATGCGTCAAGTTAGCTCCTTAGAAAAAAACCCTAAAAACTCCCCACCATGGTGCAACACTCCGTCTACAGGAAGCACTGACAGCGCCACTGGTTACGTCAAGCCGGGCCGTGTCGGGGCTCGCTCCGCCTTAGCGCACGCCGGGGCACGGCGGTCAAAGCGCCGGCTCTCACGATTGGCCCAGCCCACCTCGAGGGAGACTTAGCAAGCAGACTGTGGTGCCACTGCAGGACCACTGTCCTCGTTTTAGCATTTCCAGATGCAGCGGGAGGAGAACGACACTTTTAAGACTGTGTGCGTTGAGCTGAGTGGGAACCCCCAGCTGTGTCTGATATGGAGTCCGAGAGATGAGAGGCTGGGTGCAGGACTCTTCCTCAGGACATTAATGGGTTAAGAAGAGGGTGGCCTGCAGGCGGAGGGTGCGGCTTACCTTGGGGGGGGGGTTGGTATTCACAGTGATTAGCAGGGAACCTTAAACCATAATCCTGTGAAGTGCAGCTCCCTTGATCAGCAACCCTGATTGCCCCATTCTATGGTAATTAGAGGCAGTTGTTATCATTTCATCAGGCATTTTAGGGAATAAAGTTGGCGGAGTTTTGAATGCGGCAGACCGGATCGCATTCACGTTTGGTAATAGAGCGATTCCTCTGTCAGCTGTAATGTAACGCTGGCTTGTTACCTGCCCATCTGCACCTTTAACACTGATAAAGGGACTAAAATGGCAACTATCTAAAAGGTGCGGAGAGCGACTGGTTCCTGTTAATCGGTCTCAAATGCTGGGTTAGAAGTATATGAAGAAAAAGAAACCCTGTAATTCATCCTGCCCCCGTCCTCCTGTTGGCCCCCCTCCCGCATCTACATCATGAATCTTTTTGTACAGACTTTGATCAGAAAAGCCCCAAAGCAGGGATTTTTAAAACCGCATTCATCACACATTTTCAAATGAAAGAACTGTCATTTAAGGAAAATTATTTATATTTCCACTCCCCAGTTGCAGTGACTTTGCTCCAACATTTAATGGGGTTTTATTGATAATCCCCCCCCCACCCCCAATCCACCCCAGGGCTAATTTTCACCATTTACAGTTACACACTTGGGTCCAGTAACTCATTCTGGGGGAGGATGGGCCTCCTTGAGAACAGACAGAATTAGAAGCCAGGGAGGGAGGGGGGGAGGGGGTTACTCAAGAAATTGTAGTGCCTGTGTGTGTGTGTGTGTGCGTGTGTGTGTGTGTCGGGGGGGGATTTACAGTAACAGACCCAGTGCGGTGTTTAGAATGCCCAGGGGCTCACTGCTTACCCACCCCCTCAAAAAAACTAGCTAACCTGGGGGAGGGGGGGGTGGTGGTGTGGGATGTTTTTGTTTCTGAGTCTTTGATGGGGGCAGGTGAGTAACCAGAGTTGAATGGAGGGAGGGGCGGCCATTTCTGACTGAGAAAAAGACTTACCCCCCCTAGGCACAAAGACACACAGACACACATACACATGTACAAGACTGAACCATGCCCTAATCCCCGAAGCAAAACCAAACAATGATAAGGTGAGCTTCCCACAAACCCAAAACAAATATAAAAGGAGCCTGATAAAGAAATTTAACCCCCCCCCCCCCACATACCAAACTGAAAACGTCCCGAACAGGAAGCTATGAGTGTTACCGTCACCGACGGTCACTGCATGACACATGTGGGTGAGGTAGTCCCCCAAAGAAATCGAATAAAAAAACCTCGATGTGCTTCCTTTGTGCCCCGACCGCTAAAATGGAACTGAGTGGCCAGTCAGACTCCAGCCTGTCAAGGGCCCCGAGATTCTATCTCTGTGATGAGACTGAGGGGCAAATCAGGCTCCACCATGGGTACCACCTCACAGAACATTTACTGACCAATGGCATTAGGGAGCAACCTCACAGAACATTTACTGACCAATGGCATCAGGATACTACCTCACAGAACCCTTACTGACCAATGTCATTATGGTCCTAACTCACAGAACACTAAATAACCAATGACATCAGGATACTACCTCACAGAACACAAACTGACCAATGGCATTTGGGAGCAACCTCACAGAACACTTACTGACCAATGGCAATCATGTACCACCCCACAAAGCAATAAAACTAGTCTTGTGTGCCAGATGTTCCCTGAAATCAAGTATATAAATCATTCCCACACAGAAACATAATCTGTTATTCTTTACACTGGGGGAGAAATATTCCACATCAGTGTTTCCCAGTGTTCCCAGTACAGGCACGCATATCAGCATCAACTGATGTGCATTAGTAATATTATCTGAAGCCAGGCTGGCATTTTGAAATCCGCTGACTGTGAGGAAACTCCCCAGATGAATAACAAGAAACAGGACGCACACCACGGACCTCCCCCCTCGACAAAGAGCCCCCCCCCCACCCCGACAGCCACGTGCCCCCACAGCAGCAGAAAAGCTACAGTCATCATCTGCACAGGAAACAACTGCCAGTCAGCAGGTGTGAGTCTGGCCTGTACCAAAGCAGTGTCGGGGAACTGAATCTCATGATCCCATGATTTTTTTAGAGGGAAACAAAAAAAGCCATGAGGATAAATGGGAGGGGAAAAATGCAAAAAAAAACCTGTCCCCCTCACCTGAAGAGATTCTCTGCCCCAGTACGCATGAGCATCTCCTTGTTGATCTGCTGGTGGATGCGAGCCCGCTGGTGCTGCAGCCGACTGCGCAGAGTCACCTGTGGGGGGTCGCATGCCTGTGTGGCAGTGGGGGAGAGGGGGGGGGTAGGCAGAAAATCTTCCAGTTAGAGGATTTATGTCACATGACCACACCAACAATACCAATGAATCGATAACTCTCAGTGAATACCGGAGTCACAAGAACAAACATACAGCAGGGGGCGTAGTGGTTAAGAGCAGCGAGCTGTTTGCAGTATCAGAAGCTAAAACCCTTCTGGTCAGCACCTTCTTAAGAAGCAGCAGATGCGGCTGGCACTACTTCTGAAGCCTCCCGTTGTCGACTGTTCATTGTTGAGTCGGCCAGCATGATTTAAGTTCCCACATAAGTCTCAGACTGACCCACTTATTATGCATATTAGGGCTTTTCCTGAAGCAGCTTAGGTCACATAACAGCACATAACAGATGGGTGAGAGCGGTGGGTCACATGTCCGGATGCATGATCGCTAAGCAACCCGGTGCTGTATGAAACGGATGCGCAGAACAGAGTGAGGTCCGGCCAGAGAAATCCAATCCGTACCTTTCTAACCATTTATCTACACTTGTGTTTGAATGTGAAATTAGTACTCCGCAGAGGATTGTGTAATGGCCTGATTTTTAACCCAGTCTTGGGGGGGGGGTTAGGTGTACTCAATTTATTTAAAGAAAAAAACAAAGCCCAAAAACATTTAATAACCTCCGGGGCATCCAAAAATCTACAAGTTATAAGTTCAAGTGATATGATCACCTCGTCTTTATAATCAAATCAAACTGATCCCACAACACACCCAGGGGAGAAAACCGTAGGAAGAGCTTACAAAGCTTTAGTTATATGTTTAGTATACTTTAAGTATATAAACGTGGGTTGAAGACCTTTACAGTGAGCATTCAGGAATTTAGCCTCATACAGGAGACCAAGTCTGCAGAAACAGCAGCACTGACTGAGATGCTGAATAGGTAGCTGATCACAGGTCTGGCTGCCTGGATTTGATGTCAGATTCGTGGAAAGGGGGACACTTAGTTCTGGATGACCCGTCACACCCTGATGGCAAAATCAGGGCTCCTCCTCCACCTAACACATGTAGGGAGCATCATCTCCAAACAAACATTTTGATTGGCAGCTCTGGGGAAAACTCCTCCCACCAAAAGCTGCCCTGGGGAACAACAGCTAGTAAAAATCTGGCTGGAGTGGATCAATCAGCGGCCAGAGAAGGAAACAAGAGCCACTTGTCAGTTATGAGCACAATGAAACAAGGTCATTGCAGACGGAAAAAAAAAATAAAATAAAAAAATAAAAACGTATGTGGCTTTGAGACAATGGCCCGATTGTGCCATTGCTGGGTCAAAAACTGGCTCTTAATGGTCTACTGAGTCTGTCAAACACTTATTATGTATTTCTACATAATCAGTGAACAAAAACACCCCCTCCCCATGAGTTTCCAGCCCAGGGAGGGATTCTCAGTCCTGAACGAAAGCCAGGCCAAATGGCATGTCGCAG